TAATGCTAGCTATCAGTATCTTTAGTGAATCTATTAATTGTTTGGTAGTTTATTTAAATTTTGAAAATGTAATTTAGTATGATCATACTGTGATAATGATTATATACATCTGATAATATTTTTAGTAACTGTATTAAAATTCATAAGTTTATTAGGTAAGTTCCTTCCCAGCAGGTGATACCATATTGTAGAATTGAGTCAAACCAAGCATAATAACTTTTTTCATTTCATTCTCAGATAAATAATGTTTTAAATAGTAATACCTTATTGATGATATCATATGTTTTCTATACATTTAAACAAAATAAATTATTATTAAACAACCTCCTTATGTATTTTAAAATCATTATTTACTTTTTATGACCTCATTATCAGACTTCCCATTACAGATTAATACTAAACCATCTGCAAAACTTATTTCTCCGTTAAATTTAATTTCACAGAAATCACTTAAATATAATAGACACAGTAATGGACTCACAACTAATCCTTGGGGAACACCAGCAGTTAAGTTCATTTCATCACTCATAACATTATTTATTTTAACAGTTTCTTTTCTGCTTAATGTATGTGATTTAAACCCACATAAAACAGTACCTGTTATTCTAATTTCATCAAGTTTTTTGAATAAAACTTTTAGTGAAAATGTGTATAAAATTTTTGATAAATCTAAAAAAAAAGCATGTTATTTTATCATCATTAATTAGTTGATTTAATCTGTTAATCACTATAATTAGTGCATCTTCTGTGTTCACATTTTGCAATATCCAAATCGACACTTTAAAAAACTTATTGAATCTAAACATTTTATTATTCTATTTTTAAGAATTTTTGGAATGACTGCTAACAAAACAGTTGGTCTGTAATTATTCAAATAACTTCTCCACTTCTCTTGAATTGGGCCTTGCATGGCCTGGTGGTTAGAGTGCGAGTCTTGGGTTTGAATCCCCATCACACTGAACATGCTCTCCCTTTAAGCCGTGGGAGCATTATAATGTGATGGCCAATCCTGCTATTCATTGGTAAAAGATTAGCCCAAGAGTTGACAGTGGGTGCTGTTGACTAGCTGCCTTCTGTCTAATCTGTCACTGCTAGATAAGGGACAGCTAGTGTGGATAGCCTACGTGTAGTTTTGTGCAAAATTCAAAACATGGCAAACCAAATCTTAAACTGAGCTCAATTCTCAGGGTTAACACTTGATCTGCCATTCAGGGTATGTCAGACATCAGCTGATCTTCCTTATTCTGTGGTTGTAAAGAGATTGAAGTCTTGTAGCATTGGAAAAAGTCCAACATCCAGGAAAGGACCTCTCCTAGACCCAAGAACTCTCTCTTCAGTGACTAACTTTTCCTCTGAGCTATAAGTGCTTCTACTTTCAGAAAATGCCATTCCCTTAAGAAAGAAACATTTCTTTAAATTCAGTAACACAAATCATGGGCAATACACACATCAGCAGAAAAAACAAAATCTTTGCAGTAGTGTCTTTTTTGGACATAGCACCAAAATGTTTCTCTTTCCTACTTACTCTTTGCTATTTTCAGTTGAAAGTTTCAACTGACTTAGTCAAAATAAAATAAAATAGGTCCACCATATAATTTGAAATTTGCCCACATAATATTTTAAAGCAATTCTGAATTTCTCCGAGTTTGTGCAAACAAAGAGATTGGACACAAAGTGAAAATAATCTTTATTTCTTATAAAACAACATTGCTACTTTAGCACAGAAGACAATAATCTTTACTGGAGAGTCGTACAAGTTAAAAATCTGCAAATTCTGTAAATCTCTAAATCTAATCTGTTTCAGTCTGAGAAAACATCACACTATATATTTAATACTATCATGTCATAGTTCCTCAAGGCAATTAGCCCTACCTATGTGACTGGTCATTTTCACTAGAGGGTAAGGGAAGTTGTAGTCTCAAAGTATCACCTGATTTACCAATGGAAATAGCTGCTCTCTACTTTCATATACTAGAAGCAACTTTATAACTATCTTCTCCAAAGAGAGATCAGGTGTTATCTCAAGGGAAGAACACACAACAATTGGTAGCTAGATTGAAAGTGACTCTCTTGAGCAGTTGTTATGTGAAGACTGCAAATATCTAAATTAAGTGAATTTCACATTAAAAAAAGGGTATAGCAAACAAGATGTTTAAAAATTAAAGATCTTAGTTATCAATATTATTTTAAACAATTAGCACTTGAGCAAATTACTTTGTAATCTTTATTCATTTTAAACAGTATTTTCAAATGGTTTCATGACGTGATGAGTAGGAGTACATTTCTCTGTCAGTTAGAAAGAAGCAAGTTAAGAGACCATTACAGGGAAAGACAGCAAGAAATCACAAAGTATAGATGGGCTCAAAGTTGTTCTCACATAAAATGTGTACAACATGAAGCAAATTTAACAAAACAAATTTGGTTAGAGCCTTGCAAGTTCATAATGAACAGCAAAATGTTCACATATAAAAGCTTACTTGTCTACAGATATAGTTTGTAATAAAAGGAAAGTAAGCGTTTGAACCCATTTATCCAACATCTCTTGAAGATTCTTCAACAAGAAAACTTGCTTTTACTAAATGAACTTCATTTTTCATTTTTTGACTGTCTGTTACATGATTTTTATATTTGAAAAAATAATTTTAAGCACCTTAGGAACCTTGTAAATACATTGTACAATTATTATTCTTCACTGATCTTAATTGTGATAAACAAACACAGTAAAGAACTGACTTCAAATCTGGAATTTCTTTTTGAAAACACAGGTTGAACATTGTATCACTTAAAAAAAGCAACAGTTTCTAAACATTTATAGCATCAAATGTTTGTTTGTTGTTAAGAGCAATGCTGCACATTGGTCTGCCTTAATTTTTGGACACTGTTATTCTCTATAAGAGCTAACCAACTGAAAGCTAGAGCTTCCAAAGTATTGTGTAAAGATAATAACCTAATGGCGAATTACTGCACTAAATGGTTCTAAGCCACGTCTAAAATTTTTTTTAACAGGATTCTTCATTTGACACTGTTTACTGAAGATAAAGAACCATATATGTAACTTGACTATTTACCAATGCAATACATGTAAGCAATACAATGAGCACCTAGGATTATAGGGTTCTAGCTTGCTCCTGACAACACCATTCCTCACCTCAGTTTATCACATTAGAACCATCTATTTAAATGTAAGAAATGTACATCAAGTAATGCAAGAATAAAGCATGACTTACATAAAAATGCCATGTCCTGTACATCTTGTTATAATTTCCAGTTGTATAAAATAACATACAAAGTACATTTTCTAACTACTGCAAGGTAATTATCACAGGCTGTGTGATATTAGTACTTTCATCTAAGCATACAGAATATGAACGGTAATTTGTAATTTTGTAAAAATTTGTAGCCTTAATTACATTTGAGATAGACAACTCCTTATACCCTATGCTGTACCAGAATGTACATGTATGACTATCACTTAACAAGTCTTTGAAACATTCTACAACCAAATATTAGAAGAGATCCTTAAGGAATGAAAACTTTGCAGTAGGAAAATTTTCTTAGAGTTTATATAAATTTACATTGCTTCCTTCACTATACAGCTTAATATATAAAATGTAGTATTACATACTGCAAACAAATAAAATAAAATTCAAAACACACACAAATGACTTTGTCTGAAAATACAGTTTTTTCTGATCTTAATGCTAGATAAGATTAATGTACCACAAGTGATACTCATATCAAATTGGAAACCAGATTCACAGAACACAATAAAAAAACTGTACCATGTTTTACACCATTGCAACTCAAAAAACCATAGTATATCTATTAAAAACACAGTAATTTTAAACATAAACAAACAAAAAATCAAAGAATCCATCTTAATTGAACAAAACAACCCTACTCTAAACCAACACCCTGGGGTGCTTAGATATCTCTGTGACCCCTTTGTTCCATACTGTATATTTATATATATCTGTGTCAGTGTAAATTACTTGAACCTGATGATGACAAAACCTTGTACATTTGCTGTTATGTTAAACTGACATTAAAGTTTTCTTCATTACTTATTCAAGGTGTCTCCAAGCATTATTATATATCCTAATTATGTGTATTTTTTTTTTAGTACTTCACAGTGTGCCCTACATTACAGCAAACACAATAACTTTTACAGAAAATCTGTGTGGATATTTCGTATATGTAAATAAAAAAAAGAGTATGACCAGGTTTATATATATAAACACATTTAAATCTAAAGATTTAGTTATCATATTATTTTGAAGTTTTCACTAATAAAACTGAGAGAGAAGATGTATAATTAGGAGTCCCATACAATCATAATGGCAATAAAGGGGTTATTGGAAACTTCTTAAGTGTGAGAGGCAAAGATTTGTAAGGCTAAAATAAGCTCTGAAATGCTTGTCTAATTTTTCAAGTAACTTAAGTAATTATATAAACAGGATTTTATATCTTCAAAAACACTTATTCAAAGTAATTTAAACTGATTTTGCTAATTTGTGTCACCAGTCAGCACTAAAAGTTTATCTCATTTTCTATTTGTTGTCTTATTTGTAGATATTGAGTCATTTTTGTTCTTTACTAATCATCCCGAGGCTAACCTTGATATATTTCAATTTCTGTTACCATCTTATAGAATTTTAAGCATGTTTTATAAGTATTTTTATATTTTCTGTGATAAAATTGCATAGAACTTAAATATTTAATGTATTGTATTAAAATAATTGGTTATATTTTTCCTTACAAAGGCTCCCAAACAATTACTCAACATACATAAAGTTCTTGAAAAGCCTTCCATGTATAAATGTATTTTCTATATACAACATTTTGTTCTTTTTCTTTTTTTCTTTATATGCTTAAAATTCTATTTCAAATTTTCACAATCATTACATTATTGCCTGTTAGATGTTTCTATAAGAAGTTTTTTCTTTGTATAATAATATAACAAGAATCATATTTGCTGAATTGTGTTTTGTATTTGTCAGAATTGGTGGATTGTAGAAAAAAATCTGCTTCAGAAAATGTGACACCTCATCATACCTCTGAACCTAAGGAAACATCTTCAATTGATACAAAAGAAATTCAAATTCATTCTCAGGCACAAGAATCCCACAGTATGTTAGCAGTGCAAAATGTTTCTTCTCTTCAATCACCAGAAGAAATTCCATTTTTTATAGATTCTGGGAGCATCACAGGTTCCACAGAAGGGAGTAATATTTCATCTGTGAATTTTTCAAAATATCTTCTTGAAAACGAATTAAAGAACCAACCAGTCTCTTCCAGTACTTACAGCATAACTCCTCTTCAGTATGAAGAATCAGTGGAAGATGTATCACATCCTAGTAGAACCCAAACTTCTGAAGAAAATTGTAGACTAACACCACACAAAGGAGTTAATATTGATTCTGATACAGTTGTTGATTTTAAAAATGATGAATATTCTGTTAAATCTCATTCATCAGTATTTAAAGAACATCAACATAACATGGTACTCCACAAAATCAACTTGTCTCATCTAGAGGAAAACAAAGAAGAAACGCAACTCCCCAATAAACAACAAGAATACCTTGAGAAGTCACAAGTAGATGTGATTGAAAAAACAGAGGAAACTTTGCTCTCCTCTTTTCATTATGAAGAAAAGAAAAACACAAAGCTTCCCAATAGAACTAAACCTTTGACTTCACATAATAGAGAAGAGAGAAAGAACTATTCACTCTCTCCTCAAGAAGAAAACAAAGAAAACTTTGATTTTAAATATGATTCAACATCATTATTACAGAAAGATAGCCAACATTCGAAATTATACAAATTGCCATCTCTTAAAGGAAAAAAAAGAGATGAACAAATCTGTGGAATGAAATATTTTGATGAGTCATGTCCATTTACCTTAAAAGATGTAAAGGGTGAAGACATGACTGTTGGAACTCATATATTGCATGTAGAAAAAAAAGATGCTAATCTCTCTTTCCTATCATCCCCTCAAAATGAAAACACAGAGAAAACATTTTATTCTTGTGATCAAGTACCATGTCTAGAGAGTAAAGATGAACATTTATTGAATTATTCAGCATCAATGCTTGAAAAAGAAGCAGAGGTTAATAAGTTATCTGATACTTCTCAAAATATATGTGAGCCAAATGTTTCAGAAACTATTCAGTTAAGTGCTAAGAATGAAAGAAAAATTGAAGATTTAGAGGACAGTAAACATCAGAAACACATAGAGAAAGCTGAATGTCTCAGGATGGCAACAGCAGAATCCCGAAGCAAGTCAGCTGCAGCTGAATTAAAACTGCAACATGCCGTAGAAGAGTTCAATAAAAAACAAGGACAGAAAAATGACAATTATATGGTAAAAGAAGGGCTGCAAACAACACAGTTAGAAGAAGTGAGTGTTAAGGAAAGCATTACATCACTGCTTGCACAGCAGAAAAATCAAGGAAATGATCCAGACATGAAACAGCAAAGTAAGAGAGCTTTGAATGAGAAGAAAGAAAAAAATGTAGCTTCTATACAAGAGCAGGTACAAAACATTGAAGTCTCTGATTTTCAAAATCAGCAGCAGATGAGACATTCTTTAAAGGAAAAGAAAACAATGTGGAATAATTACCCATCAGAACCTTACTCTGATTATTTAGGTACAGAAAGAATACAAGTGAAAAATAAGCAAACAGATATTGCAAACCTTGAACCTAAAAAAGATAACTTAAAGGATAAATATAAGATGCCATCACCAAGTTCAGTTAACTTGAAGCAGAAGGAACTTCAAAGTGACTGCATCAAAAGTGAGCAAAAAACTATTTTAAGAGGTGCTAAAAAAGAAATCCAAAAATATCCAGAAGGAGAATATATTACACCTCAAACAAGTTGTTCAGCATCACCAATTAAAATTAGCTGTGTTACAGATAATGCTAATGACAAAGAAAAAGTAAGCATCCATATATATACAGACAAAGAAAATGAACACAAAAGTAAAAACTATCTGTATGAAAATCAAGAAATGAAAGTATCAGATTTGACAGGTTTTAGCACTGATGGAGTTCAACTACGTCTTGGTCAATGTGAAGGCAAGTTAAAAAGAGAATCTGTAAACTTAAAATCTTTTGAAGATGTAATGAAACAAAGAAGGTCTTTAACTGACAGCAGTCTGAACAATGAGTTGAGTGAAAACTACAGGTCATCAGAAGGAGTAAAAAAATTATATCAGCGGGCAGCATCTGAAATTGCACCAGATACAGAGAAACAAGTTTCTCAGAAACGTTTGTCTGTTGAAATAATTCCATTTAATCAAAGAAATCAAAATCTACCATTATCTTCTGCTATAAAAGCAGAAATATACTTGGAAAAGGTATCTATAGAATCTTCAAATTCTGTCCACTCTGATACCAGTACATCAGATTTATCAGCTATTGACAGGAACATTTTAGTAGAAGACCCAGTGTCTTCAGTTCATAATCAGTTCAGTTCAGTTCCTCAGAAAACTGAGAGAGAGAGAAATGATGTAGTAAAAGATAATACACCCAAGACTGGAAAAACAGTAGATAATAATATTCTGACTCATGACACTGAAAAAACTGGTGCAGATGGTGTAAAAGATAATACTGTTAAATTTAATCAAAAAGTTTCTAATAATTCTTTGGCTAAAGAAACTGAGAATAATTCAGATGGTGTGAAGCATAACATAGCAAAATTTCAGAAAGTTGGTATCGCATATCACTGTGATAAAGAAAGAACTGTAAAGAATGAAGAAATTCATGGTGAGGAAAGAAATAATGAACATAAAGAACAACTAATACCATATCCAGTGAAAATCAAAGTTCAACGTAATGATTTGTCTAAAGAGAATTGTAAAAAGGATGCTTCAAAAGTGGATGAAGTAAACAGGAGAAAATCTCTGAAAGAAAAGGAAATTATTTCAGTAACTCAGCCTCTGTTTGAGGTTAGATTTCAGCCAAGAGGTCAAATGGATGTGCCAAAAGAAGTAATCATGTTGGATAGCAATGTGAGTAATGAGGGTTTGTCTAGGAGACAGTTTGATGATAAGGTGTTGCCAAAGGATAATAGTTTAAAAAGGAATAATTTACGACAACCATCTGAACAAAAACTGGCCACAGAATCAAATGTATCAGAAGAACCAAAATCCAGTGCCGTGAAGAATAACGATAAACCTGAACTATTTCAAGTATTTGCACGGCGGTCTCTCAAACAAAGAGGAAAGGACAAAGGACCATCTACTCATTTCGTTGAGCCAAGTATTATTAGCGGTGATGATCATAGCACAGTAATTTGCATTTCAGAGTCTACTTCCAGTGGTATTTCAGAAGAGGCACCTATAGACACCCAAGTCAAGCATGTTCATCTACCAGGGAATAAACAAGATGGGTCTCAAAATCAAAACATTACTGGATCTGTTGGCATGACAGACATCCAAGTCAAACACATGGATAAAAATGAAAAAAATTATAAAGTAAGAACAGACACCCAGAAACATTTCTCTGGATCATTGACACAAAATATCTTGAATACCACACAGTTTGAAGTGAAAGAAAAGTCTTATTCTTGGTATGGAACTCAGAAGCCAAATCTGTTTGGGATCACAGCTGACACTAAGAAGGTAAAAGAAGAGATGAAGGGAAGCAAAATTGAAACAAAGGCTATATCTCTTGAAGCTCAAACCCAGCAGCTTGAATTAACCTCAAATAAATCTGTATCAAAATTTGTTGATAGGAAACAAACCATTCCCAGGTCTATAGGTATGGCTGACTATGAGGCCAAACAAGTTGAGATAACGGGCAATAAAAGTGTATCGAAAGGAATCACTCAGAAACAAAAATTCATTGGATCTCCTACTTCAGAAAGAGTTCATCTTTTCCCTGTAATAGGAGAAGACAGAAAAGGATTGGGTTCTGGAGATCATCTGCAAACTTCTGTTGAAAGTCACACTGCGGGTTTTAAAGTGACAGAGCTAGGTACTACATGTAGAGATGGTGAAAAAGTTTCTCCATCTTGGCGTCAATTAGCTCAGCAGAGAAGAGAGCAACGAGAACAAAGAGAACAGGTGATGTTGGGATCCTCCACACAGCCTTTGGGAACAGAAGTAAGTATTTACTAATCAAAGTATTTTAAGAAATATCCTAAATTATTTATTTGAATTATATTAAAGAAATATTTTTCTTTCTTTTTTTCTGTTTAATAAAAAATATTTTTGTAGTTTGCCCGAGGCTAGTTTTATGAATTTGTTTTATGCTTTTAGAGTATATATATTTAGTAATTAACAGAATTGTATTTCTTTGTATAATAGAAATTATTTGGCACCAAAACTTACAGTAAGCCCATATAAAATACACTGTTTACACATTATTAATAGATCATCGTATTGCTTTGCACAGTAGACAAGTCCAGTTTTTAGTTAGATTCAAGGAATTTTATACTGATCCTATATTATTTTTGAGTTTCAAATTATAATGAACTGGACAAAAAAATTCCAAAGAAAGACCTTGTACGTGAGTGTAAGATAATGTTTGAATAAAATTTAGGCACAAGTTTCATTTCTGTTCTCTCCAGGTAGAGCTCTAACAACCCACGTTTTTCACTTTTTATGTTTACTGGTGGGCTATGCACTTTTTGAAAGAACATTATTTAAACTGATAAAGTTTTAACCTTTCTTCTAATGTGCCTTTCTTAAATTATGATATAATTTTGTTTGAAATGTTGAAAGGAGTCAGTGTAACAAGTTTAAAATAACCATATTTATTATTTGTTCATAAATTCAAATATTAAATTACAATAAGACACTTTTTAATTACCAGTGACAGTTCTTTAACATAATACATGTAGGAGTAGAGTCATACTAGTATAAAAACAGTATCTTCATGTGTCAGGACAAATATATCACAAAATTAGTATATTATAAATATTAAAAATGTATGCAGTATTAGTGGTTATGAAAAGTTTTACTTATCCACATGTAACATATGTATATATATATATATATATTATGTTTGTCAACTAGCTGCTTTCACATGGTTTTCTTTTATTACCAATAGATGATTCAGATATCTTCAAGGATTACATGTTTTTTTAAAATTAAGATATGATAATTTAAAAACTATTAACTTTCAGTTTTACTACATTCATAACAAAGCTAATCTAATGATGAAAACAAAATATTGTGGCTAATTTTCTAAACATATTTGAATGTTTTTGAGTTACTAGATAATAAAATTCAACTAGTAAAATATAATTTGTACATTTCTTATATACTTTACAGGGTAACTTTTACCATTTTCAGTTGTTTCTACATGTGAAAAATTGCTACCTTTCCAGCAAAAAGAAAAATCTAAAAACATGTAATTGTAAATAAAGTCAACCATTATTGAAATCACGAATCAGCACAGTATCATATAATATTGAGAAAACAAAACTTTAGTTAAAAACTAATTTAATACATTTATTGTCCTTTCATTATTGCTTCTTATATTTCTTGACTTGTCAAGGATCCAAGAGTACTACAGAATTTGTTTTTCCATCATCATAAAATGGAGTAACATTTTCTTTTTGAATACCATCATTATCAAAATAATTTTTTTCTGATTTATGGTTGACAGAAATAGGGCTGAAATACTATTTTGACAGACCTGTTATTAATAATCCTTAACGATAATGTGAAGAAAAACCATATACAGTCAAGATTAATTGTAATTACTTTTGTTAAACCTAAAAAGCATAATTACTTTGTTAACATGTAGCTTTTACACCATTGGTCTAGTCCTCATTTAGAGTTCTTGTCTTCTTCAGGAATCAAGTTTATCAGGGGCTTGTGCTTTATTTCTGCTTATGTCATTTCAATTTAGGTCACATCTAGGGATTGGCTCACCTTTGCCAGCAAAGTTCATTTTTGAAATGTCTCAACCTGGTGCTATTAGAAACAAACTTTGGCTGTTCTTGTGGACTCTTTGTGATATGATACTCTTCTTTATAGCAGCATGCATATTACTTCAGGATTGACTAAACTTCATGAAAATCTTTCTTTTTCATAGACATATGATTGAATCTTATTTTGCTAGTATTGATATATCATACCATCTTTTCCTCCTATCACTGAGTGACTTCAGTTTGAGATAGGGACATTGTCAGTGGTATTTTAAAAAGTTAATATACTGTTGCGTCAGCGAGGTCACGTGACTAGTATCATGCCACCCCTTTCTAGAAATATCCTGTTCCTTCAAGAATGCCCTAGCATTTACTAGATATGTGATAGTCTTGTATATATAAGACGTTCACAACGTGACGGGACAACAGAGGTAATGAGTAATTGAACTGCAGTCAGAGAGAATATTGTTAAGCACGTGAGAAGTTCATTGAGAATTATAACTTTTATTACAGAGCGACTGTTGAAATTAAGTGTATCGTAAAGTTGTAATCGGAACGAATAAACCAGTTTTATTTAAGAAAGAACTTGTGTCGCTAAAGTTTCGTCGGAACAAATTTACGGAAAATTAACTAACGAATGGAGACGTAACAAATTGGTGTCAGAGAGTGGGACAAAAAAAATGTAGACGAGAAGCGGCAAATCAAACTCCAGCTTAGCAGATTTGATGGCAGCAATACAAGAGCAGCGAAACAAACAAGAAGAACAAGAAGAGAAATTACAGCGGTTGCAATAAAACCTGCAACAGTGGCAGCTCGAACAGCAAAATAAACAAGAGAAATTACAGCAGTTGTTGGAGGAAAAAGAAAAGAAACAAGAAGAACGAGAAAAGAAACAAGAAGAATAAGAAGAGAAATTACAGCAGTGGTTGGAGGAAAAAGAAAAGAAACAAGAAGAAAGATTACAGCAGTGGTAAGAAAACCTGCAACAGTGGCAGCTCGAACAACAAAATAAACAAGAAGAGAAATTACAGCAGTTGTTAGAGGAGAAAGAAAATAAACAAGAAGAACGAGAAAAAACAAGAAGAGAGACTGCAGCTGTGACAACTGGAACAAGAAAGGAAACAAGAAGTACAAAAATGAAAAACATTAGTAAATTTAAAAGCGAATTAGATACGTTAAAGGATGATTTATTGTCTTTTACACAAGAAGGATACATTAACCATCGACTTAATCAGCCCCAGACAACGGCAAGCCCCTTCTAGACCCCGCAGCTCAACCCTAATGCAGACATCTTCAGTCCTGTTAGAAGTCACAGATATGAATGTCGGTACTAGGAGTGATTCAGTAAGAAGGAAACCACAGGAATACGATGGGAAAGCACCGTGGGAAGCATATAGAGCACATTTTGAGCTACTGGCAGAGATGAATGGATGGACAGAGGAGCAGAGAGCAGTATATCTGGCAACGAGCTTGAAAGGACAACCACTGGAAATACTTGGACAGTTGTCAGTAGACAACAGACACAACTATAGAGCACTGGTAGCGGCCCTAGAACTCTGGTACAGAACCCCAAATCAGTCAGAAGTCTACAGGGCTAGGTTTAAGACGAGAGTCTGTGATAAAGTGGAGAGCCTTCAAAAGCTGGCACAGGACTTGGAAAGCATGCCACACAAGGCAT